AATTTGGGGGGCGCCGGCCCCTCATTTCAATTAATCCCATATGTTATTGTTCACTTTACTGCTTCTCACTTTCACGGGCAGCGCGGGGCTGAATTAACCGTGCAAAAGTGAGGGTTCACTGTAGCTGACCATTTTATTGCTGTGGCTACATGACCAAAGGTCATATATATATATATATATATATATATATATATATATATATATATATATATATATATATATATATATATATGTTGGTTGTTGTTGTTGTTTTGTGGGTTGTGTGGTGGTTGGTTGTGGTTGTGGTTGTGGTTTTTTTTTGTGGTTTTGGTTTGTGGTGGTTGGTTGTTTTTGGGGGGGGGGTTGGTTGGTGGGGGGGGGTGTGTGTGGTGGGTTGTGTGGTTTGTTGGTTGTGTGGTTTTGGGGGGTGGGTTGTGGGTTGTGGTTGTGTGGGTGGGTTGTGTGTGGGTTGGTGTGGGGGGTTGTGTGGTGTGGTGGGGGTGTGGGTGGTGTGTGTGTGGTGTGTGGTTGTGGTGGTGGGGTGGTGTGTGTTGTTTTTGGTGGTTGTTTTTTTGTTTGTGGTTTTTTGTTGTTTGGTGTACACAGTCAGTTCTGCTATAACGCGATAGTTGTGTTCTTGTAAAACATCGTGTTTTAGAAATTCGCGTAATAGAAATAACGGCTTATGGAGAAAATAGGGTTAGGTGCAGATTACTCCTCAAAATCGTAAAAAATTTAGTAGTTAGCCTAACACAAAGGATAGCACAGTCTAAATAAATGTTACATTCATATCTAATAATGAAATCATACAGTAAATGTAACACTTTACCTTGAAAAAATATGAATATAACTTGATGGGGGGAGAAGGGAAATTTTGAGGTTGATAACATCGAGCTTCTCTTCAAGGGTTATAGCCTTTCTTTTACGATCATCACCAGGAATGCGATCACCAGAACGCTTCTTGGAGATATTCTTCTTTACCATATTCACAGTTAATACCACAAAATTGGAGAAATAGTAAGCAAAAATCGCGTTACAGCAAACAAGCATTCGCATTATACAAATATAGTTCCTCTATTCATAAATCGCATTAGAGCCAATTCGCGTTGTCAAAACACGTTATTTATTATTATTAACTCACTGTATTCGGTTAACGAATTACCTTCCATAAGAATCTTCATTTTGGTTAACGAACAAAAATTCGGTTAACGAAATTCTTATGAAATCATGTCAACATGTTTTCTCTTGCTCACCAGCTGGAATATTAGTCCTCCAATACAGTAATTGGTTCTAGGGCTTAAATTCGTTCCCATTTGAGTAAATATCAAGAAGGTTGTACTATTTAATAATTTTCCAAGTTTAATATTAAAATTTGTAGTAATTTTAACACATTTAAGATAATTGGAGCACAGGAAACTAGTTTTTGGTGCGCCAATCAGCCACTTGACTCACCCAGCAAGACGTCAGTTTGTATCTCTGTTCAGTGGAGGTAACATCTTGCTTGTGGCTTTCATGAACATAAACTATTTTTACGTTTTTACAGTACAATTATTGGTCATTCTGAAATTTATTTAACATATTGATAATATATAGCACAGTGCAGTGTTAATTTAAATAAAATAATCTTTATTTACAGCAATTAAACTTAAAATTTTAGTGTTGAAATTGTTATTGAATCCAGCATGGGTTCAAAGAAATCTAGAAAGGCGAATTCAATCCAGGTAAAACAGGAAATAATAAAGAAACATGAAGAAGGCATTTGAACAAATGTGCTTAGTAAAGACTATGTCATGTCGGCATCAACTGTGTCGACAATTCTTGCACAGAAAGACAAGTTTAAAGAAGTGAAAGTGAGAGACAAATCTACCAGGGTGTTTAAAGGTAGATCCTTAATTGCAGAGAGGTTACTTCTCTTTTGGATTAAAGAAAAACAAATGAAAGGATATTCAATTTCGGCAGAATTTATTTGTGAAAGAGCCAGGGAAATTTACGAACATTTGAAGGAAGACCAACCTGGTTCTTCTGGCACAGAGTTTGAAGAGTTTAAGGCCAGCAAAGGCTGGTTCGAAAAATTTAAGAAAAGAAGTGACACTTTCAGTGTTATTAGGCATGGTGAAGCTGCCAGTGCAGATAAAGAAGGAGCAGCAAAATTTGTAGTGGACTTTAAGGAACTGGTGGAGGAAGAAAATTATCTTCCACAGCAAGTGTTCAATGTGGACGAAACTGGGCTGTTCTGGAAGAAAATGCCCAAAAGGACATTCATCACCAGAGATGAAGCCTCTTTACCTGGGCTTAAACCCATGAAAGACCGTCTCACTCTATTGCTTGGTGCCAATGTTTCAGGGGATTTCCGACTGAAGCCTATGCTTTTCTACCACTCTGAGAACCCCAGGGTGTTCAAGCAACAAAGGGTGGTAAGAAGACAGCTTGGAGTTTATGGAAGTCCAACCGTAAAGCATGGGTGACAAGACAGCTCTCTAATGAATGGGCTGTTGAGGTGTTTTGCCCTTATGTGAAGAGCTACCTAACCACCAATAAACTCCCTTTAAAGGCTCTTCTCCTTATGGATAATGCCCCTGGTCATGACCCTGAACTTGCCAGCACTTTGGAGGCTCGATTTGACGTTGTCAAAGTGTTGTTTTTGCCTCCCAACACTACATCAATTATACAGCCAATGGACCAAAATGTGATCAGCAACTTCAAGAAGCTGTACATGAAGAAAATGTTCAGGAGGTGTTATCAGGCAACTTCCACTTATCCTGAACTAACACTGGCACAGTTCTGAAAGACACAATTTAACATCCTGGAGGCTGTAAATTGATTATGTCATCATGGTGAGAAGTCTCCATTAGATCCCCAATTCTGCATGGAAAGCACTGTGGCCATCAGCAGTCCATGATTTTGAGGGATTTGAGGAAGAAGCGGAGTCGGTATCTTAGTGTTACGTATACCCTCATTGTGAAAGGCAATGATAGCACCTCTCACATCTTGGAATGTCTCTTCGATAATTCTTCATTCCATTCTATGTAAGACCCCATTGATGGCTGACAAGTTGTTGGTATCCATTTACGACTTCCACTCTGAGTCATGTATTATATGATCTGAAGCCTTGGAGGATTCACATCGTTCGGTAACGTACACACATACTCATCCCTGCTTTAAGGTCATGGATGTAGAACTACCATCCGTTTAGAAACAGGTCAGAAATAGGTCAAGTAACATTGATCGGAAAGCCTTGTATCACATTGACCCCGTGACTAAAGATACTTTCCAGAACGTCCGACTGGCGCACCCTGGGTGACGTTCCAGGACGTCCGACTGGCGCACCCTGGGTGACGTTCCAGGACGTGTGCCTTTTCCCGCCACTTTTTAAATGCCCAGAGCGGGTTATCAGGTTCCCGTGTGACTATTTGCTTGTCGCGCCAAACCTCGGCCACAGGGAAGCTTCCTGAATGTAATTACCTTCTTTTGTTTGTTTCATTCTCATTGTCTGTCCATTTTATCATGTTGTATTAAAGTAATATTGCTAAAAGTAGCGCAGTTGTATTGTAGTGTAGTATTACTGGAGAATAATGGTCTGATTATGTTATAAATGTATTTATTTGTGGAATTATTATTCCGATAATTATTTGTATGACCTACGTGGTCTCCCAAACATAAAGCCTGACGACAGACTTTGTGTTTGGCGCTGAGAACTTCTTAAGAGTAAGGCAAATAAAATAAAGTCTGAATGAATTATTTATAGGAAATAAGTATTATGATCAGTAAATAAATGCATTACTGGCCAACTCGGACACAAAGGCAAGCGGGAAAATGACCCCTAAGTGCGTAGTGACAGCGAGCGCTCGAAGTAAAGAAAAAACTTTCCCCTTATTTGTCTTTGTCACTGAGGCGCCACGGAAGAATATAGAGGGACAATGTATAGTTTTTCTCGCGTTTTTTACATTGTTTTATCATTTATAAAGGTTAACAAAATTTTTGGAAAAGTTGATTTTTCTCGTTTTACCTCGCGTTGGGGGTATGGAGGGCGGCACCCTAGCCGGGGCGTAAGGGTTAATGCCCTGGTAAAGGTGAGGACACAAGGTACATTATTGTAAATGGTTGTTATTTATGGTAAGGTGAGAAACTTATGTGTAAGATTGTACCTCTCACATTGTGGAAAAAAGGTTATATTAAATTATTATGAAATATCATAGAATAATGAGATTGTCTTTGTTGTTATTCCAAATGAATGTGAAATCTCAGATAATACAATGAGCGCCTTAACTATGGTCCCCAGATTGAAGGAGAATTTAAGGAATTGAAGACGGGTCCCCCAACATGTGTAGTGCTTGGGGATGCAGATGAAGCATTTTCATTTGCTAACATGAATGAAGCATTTACAACATTGATGAATATGGAGGACCCCAAGCTATTCTCCCTTGGGTATGGGTAAGTATCATGATAATAATTCTGCTTTACCTAACTCACTGTGGTAGTTTCACAGTTTGATAAATATGAAAAATAGTCAGAACATTTAATGCTGTTGAACCAATCTAATATGTCCAACTGATACTATCCACCGAGCATATTTCTAATTACTGTGCATACCTGGTGTAGGGAGATGGTCCATCACACCCATAGCCTGAGGCAGTTTGGGGTTGATCTTACAGTGATCACTCCTCCTCCCATTACAACCATTGGCATCAACAATGAAGATTAGATACAAATGTTATCTTCTTGAGACAGTAGCATAATTAGAGCATACAATATATCCACACAGTCAGTGCACAGTGTCGCCCTGTTACATTTACTAAGACTCCATAACTAATCCACCATCTTTGGATTACATTACATTCAGTTTCCAGCTAATAATCATCGATGAAGGTCACATCTCTGCTCTCCTCTGACCAGCTTATATTTGGACAAAAGCCAAGATTCTTGGTCCCATTTTAACACACTTAGGGATAGATGTCAAGGACTATAACAGTAGGTACTGTATTATCACAAAACCATGGCTGATATATTTGTACATACAGTGGAACATTGCTTTAATGTGGACCACTACAATACATTTTTGGTTATAACATACTGTATATGCAGTATGGACATGAAGTATGGGGAGTTTTTGGCTACAGTTCAGTATACAAAAGTTGAGGAGCACAAGTGGTCTGCCATCTATAGGGCCTTTCACCATAGAAGATATTTTCTCTCTTACTTCATGAAAATGCCAAAAAGGGGACAAGAAAATCATTTCCCATAATATAATTTTTATGAATTTGTTGCTTTGTGAGTACAGTATTCCTGTACTATGGGCAAGACATTTGCCCTGCCAACGGTCCAGCACATCTTATCTTGATCACCCTGGTCAGGGAATATCTGTTAACAGAATGAACATATCTGTCCTACCAGACCTCACATAAACTGATAGTCACCATTAAGGCCAAGTTAAAGTTGACAAGTTTTCTCATTCCTTCATTACTTAGAAATTCACAGCTAGGATTATGATGAACTTGGACATGACGACACAGTGGACCTTGTGGAGGAGAAGAAGGATTTACTGGTATATTTTACCTTATACTGTATACCTGAAGCTAGGGTCACACTATAGTTTTTCGTGCAATAAATCCACGATAGCATTTCATCCACAGGCAAGAAGTCAATGGTACAATCTGCACACTGGTCACACTGGTGAAAGGAACCATTGGCCAAGTGCCCAGCTCGTGGGGCTAGTTTGAGCTCAGTTGGAGAGCAGGGTGGCTTCATTGTATGTTTCTATGGCAGCATTAACTGCTTTAGTGAGATGTTTGGTCCTGTTAAAGAAGACCAAGGCGAAAAAGAAACGTGATGTTTGTTTACTAAAGTGACCCAAGTACTCTATAGTCAAATGAAATTCCCCTCGTAATGTATCTTCTTCTTATTATTTTTTATTTACTATGACAGTTTTGCTCGTGTTTTGTTACTGATATACACTTTTTATATTTTTTTACACTTTAACATTCCTAAGAAAAAATAAGAACAGTGTAAATACCATTCATACAATAGACTCTACAGTATAACACATGTCAACCCAACCTACCGTGGATTTTCAGACACTCCGTTTTGTCCCACTTTCAACAACAAATAAGTTGTCGCTGTAGAGACAACTTGAGGAGTTTGACGACAAATCAACGCTACAGTGGATTTATTCTGGGTAGAAATTGTAGTGTGACCACAGCTTAATGGTCACAACTTGAGACCAATGACTTTAATACATAATAGATATGTTTTATAAGGACTTTGGCTTGCCTTTATAGTGACAGAAAATATATTGGATATAGTACACATGAACAAGTTTTGGTCCTTTGTAAAGAAAAAGTACATTACAGTATCCAATTTCTTTATTTTATGAGATATACTAAATTTAGCTTTAGAAGTAAGGCAAGCTCATAAACAGCTTTTCCAAGTACTGTATGGCCTTTGCCAGGACATTAGTTCTAGTAAACAAAAAAGCTTACTGATGTTCATGAATGAATTTTGAAGTTTATTTTTTTCCCAGGAAGTACTACAAACACAAAGGCAAGTTACAGTTAGATGTTGGAGCCTTTGCCTCTGCCTTAGAATTTGCTTGTGACATCAAGAGTGAAGTGATTGGTAAACCTTCACCGCTGTTTTTTGGTACTGCCTTATCTGACATAGGAATTACAGCAAAGGAGGTACGTTCCTTTGAACACAAGCGTTTACAACTCACTTTTTCCAACAATAATCTTCATATTCACACAGGAAGTGACTACTGGGCATAAGAAATTTTAGAGCCTCACCTTGTATATTTATTTGCTAAACATCATATTCCATGGTCAGCTACAGTTTACTTGTCAACTTACCTCAGTCAAATTTGGCTGTCCAGTACTTAGTGATGAGGCCTCGTGGAGTCTGTCACCATGATATCTTATATTTATATCCTTCATATTTTTTTCTGTAAAATTGTTTTGTGTATTTCCTGAATTAATTTTTTTATTTAACAATGTCTGCAAAAAAAAAAAAAAAATTCCTGTAACCTTTAAGATGACTCTTAACAAAAATATATGTTAAGTCTGAATAGAACACATTGGAACCAGCTCGAAACACATGCTATGTGCATACCGTACTTACAGAACAGTGTATAAAATTCCACTACGTATATCATAGCCTAAGTCCTTTTATATATCTAAAATCACTTAACTTAAGAGAAGAAAAGAAATTGCATGACGAAATACAGTAAATAAATAAAAAAAGTAAGTTATCAGGTACAGTAATACCCCGATTTACGGGGTCAATTGAACCCACAGAGGTCCGTGTAAAACGAGAAATGCTTAGTAAATGGAATAACAGAACATATGGGATTAATTGAAATAGAGACTGGGCCAACTCCCAAACTCCACTTTTTCCAACACAATACCTATGTTCTAGTAAAAAAAATCTTAATTTTATGATGGTACGCACACACAATTAATATTTAAGAAAAATACAGTTGCCAGGTTAATGTCCATTCAAATAATGGACTCAACTTCCCCACTCTTCCCATGCTTGCTGGCTCCTGCCTCTTTGAGAAATGTTTGGGTGAAAACACTAGATTTTAAGGTATAGTAATAAATAATACCTCAAACTAAAGTTAGGATAATATAATTGACATTGCTGGATTCCTTGCAAGACCAGGAATATTTTGAATACCGGGTATACACGTCATATATTTTGCACAAAAGATAACATATTTGCTCCGAGTAAACAAAATTCTTACTTAGATCTAAAATTTGTATGTTTAATGCAAAATCTATGATGTTTATATTCAAAATGATCATCAAATTGTAAGAATTCCAGTAATGTAAATTATATTCTGGCCGGGTAATTTGTATGAATTTTATGAGCTAAAATAAATATCTTCAGTAAATAAAAAAAATATACTTCATCCAGACACTATCTGTCAATCAAAATACCCCACCTCCGGCTCCCCCCCCCTTCACTTCCCACTGTTGCTGGGTCCCTCCCTCCCTCCCTACCCCCCACCCCCACCTTCCCTCCCTACCAGAAAAATGTTTGGGTTAAAACAGTATATTTACATTTTTAGTAATAAATAATACCTCAGACTAAAGTTAGGATAATATAATTGACATTGCTGGATTCCTTACAAGACCAGGAATATTTTGAATACCGGGTATACACGTCATATATTTTGCACAAAAGATAACATATTTGCTCTGAGTATACAAAATTCTTACTTAGATCTAAAATTTGTATGTCTAATGCAAAATCTATGATGTTTATATTCAAAATGATCATCAAATTGTAAGAATTCCATCAATGTAAATTATATTCTGGCTGGGTAATTTGTATGAATTTTATGAGCTAAATAAAAAAATTATACTTCACCCGCGTATATGAGTAGATGCACCGCGTAAAGTGGGAATTCCGGTTCTGGCGGGGTACCGCGTAAATGTAGAAACACGTAAGAAAAAACCGCGTAAAGTAGGTTATTACTGTAATTAAATACCGGTACTGTACATTTAAAGTTCAACCTTGTTCTTATCGATGGATGTTTGTAAGTTGAAGATTTGTAACCCGGACACTGCCTGTATACGGTATGCTTTAATATGTGCAGTAGTAATGTTTCTCACTGATTTTAACACCAATATGTTTGTAAATAATTACCTGTATGAACCATTTCCATTGATCAGATCCACTTGATCTCCTCCTGTAGTGAGGTTCTGATGATGTGTTCTGTGTTGATAGCCTGTGTTTCACCTGATAACAGCCATTTTCCATTGGGTTTAGGTCCAGTAAGTTCCCACACCACTCCACCACTCAATTATTCTTGCATGTGTTGTGAGTAGTAGCTTTTTGACAACATGATGAGATGGCTTTTTCAGATCCTTTTGCGGCCCTCAGGGAGGTTTAATGCGGCCTTCGGCAACTAGTAGAAATATAATTAATATTACTGCATATTTTATAGAAATTAAATATAAACAAATACTATTATGATACAATGATAAGTATTGTACATATGGCATATCTGCTTAGGCTAGTGGACGACTCTTAGGAATCTACTTGATTTTTTCACTAAAACAAAATTTTGGTTATCTTGGTAACAAAGTCAGTGATTTCTGTACTTTTACTTTTATCCTCTTCGCCACTGATCGGCTCGTTAGCCGCTTGGACAGTTGGTCATGTCTCTGTTATGCACTGCTGACAGATACAGGGCAGGCACTGGCTCCTGAATGTATCAGAACCTGCTCCAGTGTTGGTCAAGTCTGGCCTTGACTCGGTGCCATCACAACACTCTCCTGCAGAGATGTTTTGATTGATTGATTCCTTCTTTAAGTTTATAATACGTGGTTAATACTTAATAATCAATGTTATTAATGTGTAAATTATCTACTACTCTTATTCACATTAAGGTTAAAGTGCAGCCCTCATCACACAGTTGCCCATCTAATGTGACCCACTCATGCAAAAAGTTTGAGCACCACTGCTGTAGAGTGACAGCCACCTGTACAGGATGACCTTAGAGTGAGATGGTGACTGACAACTCTCTGAACCTTCATAATTTATCCCATTGTATTCATGACAAAAATGAATGGCACTTAAATAGATCTGTAATAAAAACAATAGAACATCGTGGTAATGTAACTGACAACAAGGTGACTCACTACACCTGTCTCGTGGGAGATAATCCGATAAATATTGATTTTTGTTGCTATGGTAAGAAAATAAACTGAAATATAAAGCTGTATACTGTTATCTTACTTACAGGCTGTGATGGTCGGGGATGACATAGTGTCTGATGTTGGTGGAGCACAGAAGAGTGGCCTGAGGGGAGTGTTAGTGAGGACTGGCAAGTATACACCAAAATGTGAAGACCACCCCTCAGTGAAGCCACATTTTATTGCCAACAACCTCCTGGAAGCTGTTGAGATGATTATACAAGTTCAGAGTAAAGAATGATCTGTTGTTGTATTTTTATTTTTATTGGAAAATATTTATAAGTACACCATAGCCTTAGATATCTTGTGAAGGCTTCCATCCAAACACTGAAAGAGAGTGACATTGATAATTTCCTTGTACCGTATTATTCCTATGCAAAACCTCTGTCTTCATCTGGTCACGGGAGCACAAAGTTTTTTCATTACAAAATATTACAGATTCCCTAAAGTTGCATGGCTTGTTTGCACAGTCCAGGGTATAGTCCATTTTCTTCTTATGATATTCATTATGCTGAAAGTTTTTATTTGCTGGATTATGGCCAATCAGATGAATAGCATGGACTTTGATGGTTTGGAACGTGCAAGGGTATCTGGAGTTGTGTTTGGATGGTGGATGCACTGGACAAAGGGTTGGCTTCAATAGCAGGCCTATCTGAGGCTGGTCCATGGTAGTGTCATTTGCTTCATGGTGCCTTACCCACTTAACTACTGCACTGTGATCTTCGTCACACCAGTCCGGCGAGCCATCTCAGCGTTGCTCAGACCCTTGTAGTGAAGGACAATAACCACACCTCGCATTTTCTTTTAAAGTTTCGGCATTGATGTTATGGTTTTCCATCCGGTTTAAGTGACTGTGGACAGATTATATGGCCACTTCTACCAAGTCATATTCAATTAAATGTATAAAACCTGGACTTTATTCTGATATCTATATCCCTAGACCTTCAGTACTGCTTCACAGTTGTCTTCTTAGTAACAGAGAACATGTATGCATTTTATTTTTATATCCATTAAGGAAAATAATATCATCTTAATAACAGGGAAGAAACGGGTAATGTTCTTTTTCGTTGCAATTAAACAAACTTTATTGTTTTTAAAAGGTTCGTCCACCATTTATTCTTGGAGGTGCAACTTATTTCTTATGGATTTGCTTGATTTTTGAATATGTTATGTGGGATCATATAAATCATAGATCCTGTAAGTATGAGTGAAAAATGCCAAATAGTTTTTGAGAAAATAAAAATGTATTTTTTTGTTTTAGTGGTCCCATAATAAGAAATTTTATCTGTGTAACCAAATAAGATTTACTGTATTAAATTTTGCTCGGCCATCTTGTAGCTATATGTATCCTAATTACAAGGACCGTGTTTGAAACACATTTGATGAAAAACAAAGGAGTAGTGTCAAATTATATTATATTTTGATATTCACACACTTTTTTCATAAAAAATAAAAAGAACAATTTGCTGTTTCATACCTAATTGAGATATCAGTAACTTTAGCTTTGAGTTACAGGCGATTCTGTGCCTAAGTATGGTTATGGTGTGATACCTGTCATTATACCTTATCTTATTGTAAGTTAAGGTAGTCTGTGGCAATAAACATAAGTCTTATGGGATTATAGATTTGAATTTATATTGAAAATGATTTGTTTTTTAATTTGCTACTGGTACTTGGTCACATCCATGTCACTTTACAGTCGAAACAGACGTCAGTCAAGGTGGTGTTCAAGATGTTAGCCTTTGTCAGCAGCTATACAGTATGTCAGCTCCACAGTACAGTAATATCTCCGTTAGCCAGAATCCCTCCAACCCAGAACTCTCTGATAGCCGGAATTGAAATTTTCTCGGAAAATTGTTCCCAAAGCCGGAATTTCCGGAAAATTCCGGCTTTGGGAACAATTTTCCGATTGGCACATTTTCCGGAAAATTCTGATAAAATTTTTCCCTTACCCAGAAAATTCCGGGGATGGGGAATATTTTTCCAGGTTCCAGAGATGATGTAATGGGCAATTTTTGGAACTTCAGAGAACAGTTTTCCGTTACCCAGAAAATTCCGGGGATGAGGGATTTTTTCCATCTTTGAGAGAGTCGTCTCATTACCCAAAATCTCTCTTTCCCGGAAGTAGTTTGCACCAATGGTTCCTGCTAATGGAGATATCACTGTACAGTACTTGAATTGTTGGTGTGACAGGAGGTTCTGCTTCTCGGACTTCATGATGATACAGGTAATCACATCATCATCTTCCACGTGTGGCGGTGGAAACGCCAGCAAACAGTTATTGATGTATGTATTTGCTGCATGTTATTGTCTCCATAGCAGTAACAGCAAGTATTGATGTTGTAGGTGTTATTGAAGGTGTAGGAGCTGGTGAGGATGAAGTCAGTGGTATGCTGGCAATGCAGCCAGCGTCATCACCAGTTTGCCGGATTCTGTGAAGTTTCTTGAGTTCTACAGCGTCACCATTAGGTGACACCTATGCAAATCCGTCTTTGAAGTCTTAGGCATGTCTTTCTTCTGTAAAAACAGCAGGAAAGTATAGTTTCAGCCATTTTTTTTATTTTGCCACAGACGACAGCTAGTTTATCGTATACAGTGATCCCTCGGTTAACGAGCGCCTCGGTTAACGAGATTTCGGTTAACGAGTTACCTTCCATAAGATTCTTAACTTCGGTTAATGAGCAATCCCTCGATTAACGAGCCGACCTCAACATGTTTTCGCTTGCATTTGGCGGTCCACCAGCTGTAGTATTAGTCCACCAATACAGTAATTGGTTCTAGGGCTTAAATTCCTTACTATTTTAGTAAATATCAAGAAGTTTATACTATTCAATAATTTTAAAAGTTTTATATTAAATTTTTTAGTCATTTTAACAATTATTGAACATAATTGAAGTACAGTATAGGAAGCTAGTTTTTTGCGCACCAAACAGCCTGTCAACACACCATACAGGCGTCAGTCTCTGTGTCTTTTCAGTGGAGCTAACATCTTGCTTCAGACTCTCTTCAACTAAATGCCTTTTTTCTGTGTTTCCAAGCAAATTATTGGTCAATTTGAAATTTATTTTACACATTGACAATATATAATGCAGTGCAGTGTTGATTTAAAGAAAATAATCTTGAATTACACCAAGAGAACTAAAATTTTATGGGTGAAATGGCGCCATGGGGTGACTTCTCTTCCACCCCAATGCCTTCTCTTCTCCCTTCTCCTCCACCCCCATTCTGATTCCCATCATCATCATCCAGGAGCCTTTTACATACACACCTCAAAGTAAGTGTACTTTACTACCTTTTTTGTTGAATTTAGGCAATTTTCGGTGAGCTGGAACCAATTACCCAAAAACCCATTGAAAAAATGGTTTCGGTTCACAAGTTTTTCGGTTAACGAGCAACCTTCTAGAACGAATTGTGCTCATTAACCGAGGGACCACTGTACCCCCATACTCATCCTGTGAGGGTAGTGCAAAAAGAATTACAGAGTAGAGGCCACAACGGGTGTTTATTGGACCCCAGTGATTTTGATATTATGGCATTGAATGTTAGAGTATTTTCAGTGCAGTAAACCCTTGTTATTCACAGGGTTAGGTTCCAAGGAATGACGTGAATTGGCAAAACCGCGAATAGCAGCTTATACTACCCTAGTGCACTACTGTATACCTGTACCAAACAACTGACCAGCCACAGCAGCTCTCATCCACTCTTTTATGTGTGTCTGGCTTTAGAGACAAGCGGGTAATAATCTGAGTTTAGGGTATCAAGAGCAAGTAGTGAGGATAAGGAGTCAGTGATGAAACTGTCAGTGGCAGTGTCTTCAACAAGTTTCAGGGCTGTGAGTATGGCAAATAGTTCAGTTTGTAGAGTGGATGCCCAGTTACTAATTCTATCTCCTTTCTCTATTACATTACCGTTAGGTGGAGTCACAATGACAGCACTTCCGGCCCTCTCACAGGCAGTTTTAAGAGAGCTGTCAGTGTAGATGGTCTGTGTGATGTTATTTTCAGTCTGTAGGTTATGTATGTGTTCAAGAGCTCTCACTTTGGCAGTGTGCTGGAGAAAAGAATTATGTGTGGTCATTCGTTTAGGCGGGTACGTGGGTGTTGTGATATTGAAGGGAACTATCCGCCAGGGCAGCAGGAAGTGCTGTGTTGTCTCAGCTTTGTACAGATGGTCTAGTCCAAACATCTTCACATGTTTAGCTGTAGTTTGGATCCATTTAGATTCACCAGTTTCACAGACTCATATATTCTTGCAGGTTCTCAGAAGCAATGTTATCTGGATGACCATGCATAAGCCTCATGGCTATCATGAGGTTAACTTCAATTATTCTATCTTTAACACTGGGTATACCTAGTTCTTTCCTCATATTAAGTACTTTAGTGCTCATGGGACAGCCTAAAATAATTCTAAGGGCTTTATTTTGCATTTTTTTGAGCTTGTCAATGCCTTTCCCGTCAGGAAGGACCAGGGCTGGTGCGTGGTAATCTATCAGAGATCTTATATAGCCTAGGTACAGTACAGTATTTTGACAATTCTGATATTAATGCCATAATGTGGGTTATACCTCGCTACAAATTTATGAGGTTTTAACCTATCAGTACATGGGTGGGTTAGATGTGCTATAGCAGGTGTAATACAGGGCTTAGAGACACCAAGATATTTAAAAGAGGAGACATAGTCAATGGTGTTGTAACCTATCTTAAGCTTTGATGCATAACGAGGCAGACAAGCGCCAACGCTGGAAAGATGCTGCTGCTGCCCCTCCTGCACTAGATGTAGCCCCCCCACATGTGCAACATCTGTGATCGACCCTGCCGGTCCCGTATTGGCCTCTTTAGTCACCTCAGAGCTCACCAACGTAGGTGACATCTTTAATAACTCGTATCATTGTATCATAGCTGGATGATCGTCATACTCGATTCCGAGTGACAGCAAAGTACTGTAGTAAGCTTTGATGGACCACATTTGCAGTTACCAGCTTGTTTGTTGAAAACTTTAGTTTTCCCAGTGTAGATGATGAGACCAAGGTTCTCACAGGCTGACTGTACATGGTTCACGGTGACTTGCATTTCACGATGAGTTTTAGTACAGTATGTATAAGAATGTCATCTACATCGCTAACGGTAATATTGCTGGGGCTGTCTGGGATTGACTTTAATAGTGCATTCATAAGAACAATGAACAAAGTGGGACTAAGTACTTTACCTTGGGGGATGCCAAGTTGCATATCTTTGACTTCATTTTTGTAACCCTGAAACAGTGCAGCAGCCCTTCTGTCGGTTAGGTAACCACTTATCCAGTGAGAGTAGAGTTTGGGTGGGGGAGTCATTAGACCACACAGTATTGCCATTTCTCAGAAATAAAATTCCTATATCTCCTCCCCAATTTCTCCCACAAAATCCCACAGATTTATACTAAATTCCCACAAATAATTTAGGCCTACATTAATCAAATGATATACTACTGTAAAGTTTCATGGAGCAGAACTAACCAAATATGCAATCTGTGTCTTTATAGGTCCATGGCAACTATTTCATCGGCAGGTTCTAGTTCATCTGTTGCTAGTGTCTCTTTGTTGGTATGAAGTTTGCACGTCTTTGATTCCATATGTAACCCATAGCAAATTTGTACAGTGGCTTCCACAGATCAAACACTGAGGGGATTTCTGAGTTTTGTATGGACTACATTCATTTGTGAAAATATTCTCTCAACTGATGCATTAGAAGATATAGAGAAAGTAAAACCAGTGCTAATGAAGATACATTAGGATATGCTTGTTTCTCAACAGAGTTCTTCCTGTCACTGACTTCAGCCCAAAAAGATGATCTGTTGGAGACTTGTAAGCTTGACTGGCCATTCTTCCAGACTTAAGGCATTCCACTCGGTTTCTAAGTCATCCATATCAATAAATGTTGAACTGTATTTGGAAGCCACTTTTGAAGTGCCTTTTTTGACAGAGAAGTAACATGACTTGGTTGCAATTGATGGAGTTGGAACAATGTTTCAAAGTTATATGGAAAGCGTGCTTGCACTTCACTGATAAGTTGTGTGACAAACTGTTTGCAACGCTCTTGAACATATAATACCTTGGGCTCACTCGAAGAGCTATTCACAACTGCATTACTGAACTCCTGACCAAACTGAATTGAACAATGTGGCATCTGGTAATCCAGAAATTTTTATGTAGGAAGACCTTCCAATGAACTCCTATGCAGAAGACGTGGATCCGCAATCATTTGCATGAGATTTCTGGACATATTAAGTAGGTATGTAGTGAGCTTTGTAATATTGGCATTTTCTGCATGCGAAAGTTTATACTGTATATACTTTAATTACTCTCTTCCTTCTTTTTATCAATGATTTACTTTACACTACAACTAATTCTATCCATTCTTACGCTGATGATTTTACTCTTCACTCTTCTTCACATTTTCCCCTTCCCCCTAACTTTCAAACTAGATCCGTTTCTGGAGCTGATATCATTACATCTATCAATGCTGATCTGTGCAAACTTCTCTTAATGGGGAGGTAGAAACTTGGTTAAATTCAATGGAAATAAAACTCAGTATTTACCAATTACAGTTTTCCAAATTACAAGTAGATGATCTCCCACCAATCACATTTCAGGACTCAATCATTCTGCCAAATTCTAAAATAACTATGCTAGGCCTCACCATTTCCTCTAATATGTCACGGAAGCCACACATACTCAACATTGCTAAAGCTGCCTCCTGAAAGCAGGGAATGCTGTACAAATGCCATAGCTACTTTACTCCTGAGCAGTTGCTTCAAGTATATAAGGGATTCATTCGTCCTATCTTGGAGTACTGCTCTCATATCTGGGGTGGCTCCTCTTCTGACCAACTGTTAGATAGGGTGGAATCAAAGGCATTTTGTCTTATTAACTCTCCTCCTTTAGTTGACAATCTTTCTTCTCTTTGTCGCAATGTTGCTTAACTCTCTCTCTCTCTTTTACAGGTACTTTAATGGTCAATTTTCGATGGATTTGGCATCCTGTGTACCGCCGGCAAGTCCGTGGGCTGGTAACACACGTCTTCTCCGAGGTGCCCACCGTTTCTCTGTGGATGTCGGTCACACTAGAATAACCCGTTATAGTACATCCTTCTTTCCTCACACAGCCAAACTGTGGAATGTTCTGCCTTCTTCTGTATTTCCATACTTATACAATGTGTCTCGCTTCAAACAGTAGGTTTTTCCGCATTTCCGAGTTGTAGATTACAGTAATATAACCTTTTTCTTTTCTATTTTTAAGTTCTTTTTACTCTTATTTTTTCGCCCCCCAGGCTTCGTTGTGGGTTGATGGCCTGTGCCTAGGTGGGCTATTCTCCGTAAAAAAATAAATAAATAATAAACCCCTAAGAATTTTACATACATACAGCTTGTACAGTTTGTTTGGAGGATCTTTATAAGCATCACTTAAAAGTTTGGCGGTATGACAGCAGTCATTTGACACCACCATATCAAAGTGCAGCTTCAATGCATCCCATTGATGAAGGATCACATTAATGGCATTTAAACGAACTAGTTTTAGTTATTTTAGGACTACTTGAGAACCAGCTATGAGTTTCTCTGGTAATAAATGTTAGTACAGTAGGCAGTGCTTCAAATGCTTTTCTGGTAGCTAGATGTAATGAGTGATATACACACCTAAACACAGTACTATTAGGATTATCAATTTGCAACAGACTTGAAAGAGAGTACTTATGACCTACCATAGAATTTCCTCCATCACATCCTAGTCCAGTCAACTTTCCTAATTTCAGATCATTTTCCTCCATGCAATTTTTCAAAGCCTTGTACAGTGTATCTGCTTTACAGTTCTGAAGTGGCACAATACAATAAATTGTATCAACCATCTTTATTTCTTAGCACTGTAGTATCGCACACTTAAGAGCCAGACACGAGACATTTGCTTCATTTGTTCTCTCGTCTACTATGAAACTAAAATGTTGTTCACCAATGTCTTCTCTCAACTGGTTTGCAAAACGTGGAACAAGTAAATTCCTCTGTATTTACGAACATTTTGTTCTGTGCAATTTGAGTTTCTGTGGAACTGTATATTTGTTATCTAACATAGGCAGAAATTCCTCAGGGTAATAATCTACAGAGAGTGTGGATGAGTGTTCTGCAATGTAAACAGCAATTTGAAGTTTTGCTACTTTTGTTTGCAAAGAGCTAACAATGGATTTTACTGCTACAAGAACTCATATTCACTTTGTTTCTTGCCATCACTGTGACCCACTAATGACTTTGAATGGAGCCTGCATACGTGTGCCTCATACTTTGCATCATGCCTCAGTACTGTCTCCCACTGCTGGTTGAAGCCATCCTGGAGGTAAAATATCTCGAATTACCACAAAGAATATGACGACTTAACTTTCGTGATCAGAGGTTACCTCAGTTGAATAAAATTATCTGACGTCAGCCAGAGCAAAATGAAATACCGAAGGTCGTTCAGAAATCCATAGTGTTAAATGCACAATAATAATATGAGGTGAGGGAGACTCACCTGACATGTCTTCAACCTCTAAACCTCTTGCCATTACCCAGTCATCCATTTTGTCCTTGGATATGTTTCTACTCAAATAAAGACAGCAAGAGTGGGTCTGAGCAGATTAACAAGTCAATAAAAACATCTCTTTGTACCACATTGGAAACACTGCTTATTATCCAATCAGTGAAGTTAACCAACATTGGGTCTGGTTAGTACTCTTGTCCCTAAGAACACCAGATGTTGCTGGTATAAGGACTCTTTTGTTAACAAGGATCTCATGGCTTTGTCAGCTGTCCTTGGTTAAATTGACTGAATATCAATTACAGTAGACCCTTGCCATTTGTGAGTTTGCGATTTCGACGATTTGCAGTAAGCAGATTTTTTTTTTATGGGGATTAGCCCACCCGGGCACGGGTCACTGACCCACATCAGGGCCTGGGGGGCGAAAATGTAATCATTATTCATCGTAAATAAAATTTATAATAAAAAGTAAAATAAAATAATAATGATAACAATAATACAGTAATAATAACACTGTAATAATAATAATAATAATAATAATAATAATAATAATAATAATAATAAAGAAAGATAAAGAAATACAAAAATTAAAAAAGAAATCAATAGTGAGAAATGCTATACAGTAGGTGTTGTGTTGTCAAGTAAGAGAACAATTGAGACCTGCAATTGTGTGTAAATGAGGCAGAAAGTCAGATCAGCAACCTGGGACTTGGTCACATATGGCAGCAGGGTCTACCATTAGCTGCCTACTACTGTACCTACAAATGGTGGCTATGATGGGTAGCTTGCCAGCCTTTTCCCACAGCACAACGAGTCGTCCCACGCAGCATCTCTTGTTGTGCTCTCAAAACTTTAGTGTTTTTGAGGGAAATGGCCCCTAAAAGACTGCCTAGTGTCAGTGCTGGTGATGCTAGTGGAGTGAAATGTAAAAGGCAGAAGTCAGTGATGAGCCTGACAAAGTTTTATTATTAGATAAGTTAAAAGAGTGGATGAGTGCTGCTGCAGCTGGTCAGTTATTTGGTATAGGTATACAGTTGTGCACTAGGGTAGTATAAGTTGCTATTCGCAGTTTTGCCAATTCGCACCATTTCTTGGAACCTATCCCTCGTGAATGGCAAGGTCGACTAAACGGTATTATTATTATTGAATTAGCACTATCTGCATCCTCCTGCCTGGCCTGGACTCTTAGCCTTAGAAATACTTTTACGTTTACTTTTATCCTCTTTGCCACTGATCTGCTTGTTAGCTACTTGGATGGTCGGTCACATCTGTGTTATGTACTGTTGACAAGTACTGGGCATGCACTGGCTCCTGAATGTATCTGTACCTGCTCCAATATTAGTGAAGTCTGGTCTTGAAAGAGCTCACACTCGGTCCCATCACAACACTCTGGCAAATTGTTCCAAGAGTTTACAATTCTCACTCCAAAAGAGTTTGCCCTCGCAGTTTTTTGGACTTGCGGCTTATTCAATCTTGAGCTGTGACCCCTTGTGGGGCAGGCGTCCACCAGCTCCAGGTACGGACACTCAACTGAGTAGTGCCCTCTAAGATGTTTATAAACCTCAGTTAGGTCACCCCTTGCCCATATATAGTATAAGCTAGGCAGTTGCAGGCATTCTAATCTCTCTGGGTTACTGAGGTGCCATAGTGCAGGCACCAGTCTGGTGGCCCTCCTTTGGACATATTCAATCAACTGAGTCACTAGCATATCTCGGGGATTAGATGGGGTGACAGTAATCCAGACGGGGAAGCACCTCAATCTTGAAGATCGTTACAGGGAATGGACCGTCTAGATATCTGAACAACCTTCTTAAAAGACCCATTAGACTAGTTGCTTGATTCACCTTCTCACAATGGCCCGAGAACTTCAGTTCATTGTCAACATACACACTTGGGTCCTTTTCACATTCGGTCTCTATTAATGCAGTCTCTTCGTCCCTTTGGGACATGTGATACTCCTTCTTACCGTTGGTATGACCCAGGTGCATCTTCTTACATTTCCTGCTATTGAATCTTAGCAGATATCTCTTCAAGTACTCTTGAAGCTCACAGAGATCTTTTTGTAGCTCTTTACAGTCTGTTTGGTTCTTAATTTCCTTGACTAACTTGGCATCATCCGCAAACCTGTGGTGTAATGGTCAGCATGCTCACCTCGCAAGCGAGCGGACCCAGGTTTGATCCCCTCCCCGGGTGAAAGTGCAGGTATGGGCAAGTTTCATAATGCCACTTGCCTCTGTCTATCCAGCATTAATTGGGAACCTGGAAGTCAATCGATTTGCTGATCGTGTTTTGGGGTAATAGTTAGGTTAGGTTAGCCAGTGCAGTTGGCGAGTTGTCCAGTCTTCTTGGACTATTCCTTGACACTGGGTCATGCAGCTCGTTAACTCAGGGTGTGGTTGTTGTGTAGGTGACACCTTAAACAAATTCACGCCTAGGTGGAGTGCCCTTCCAGTTTAATTCTCAGTCTTTCATGGGGTATGCTGTCGCAAGTCTTGGCAAAATCTAGGTATATATTGTCGATATTGCCACCCTGTTCCAGAATTTGAGTAAAAATATCCAGTTTGGATGTGATAAAAACAGTACTGTAATGTCCCAATGAACCCACTGTTGTGTCTCCCTAAAACTTTAGTATCATCTCATACCAGTTCAACATCACCCAGTCCCAACTCAGCAATAGCCAATACCAGTTCTATACTGCCTAGTAATACACAATACCATCTACACCTGCAAAATGGCACCTAAAAGTGCTAAATACCTGCCATAAATACTGCCCACTACCTGATACATGCTACTTAACACCTGATAAACTGACAATTAACCCATGACCACAATATTACCCCATTATTGCCCATGATCACAATATTACCCCAATATTGCCCATGACCATGATACTACCCCATTATTAACCCATAACCACAATACTACCCCATTATTAACCCATGACCACAATACTACCCCATTATTACCCATGACCACAATACTACACCATTATTAACCCATGACCACAATACTACCCCATTATTAACCCATGACCACAATACTACCCCATTATTACCCATGACCACAATACTATACCATTATTAACCCATGACCACAATACTACCCCATTATTAACCCATGACCACAATACTACCCCAATATTGCCCATGACCACAATATTATCCCATTATTAACCCATGACCACAATAGTACCCCATTATTGACCCATGACCACAATAGTACCCCATTATTAACCCATGACCACAATAGTACCCCATTATTACCCATGACCACAATACTACCCCAATATTGCCCATGACCACAATAGTACCCCATTATTAACCCATGACCACAATACTACCCCATTATTAACCCATGACCACAATACTACCCCATTATTGCCCATGACCACAATACTACCCCATTATTAACCCATGACCACGATACTACCCCATTATTAACCCATGACCACAATACTACCCCATTATTAACCCATGACCACAATACTACCCCATAATTAACCCATGACCACAATACCACCCCATTATTGCCCATGACCATGATACTACCCCATTATTAACTCATAACTGGAGATGTTCGGGGTACTTGGTTCTAACTACAGGAGCGAACATAAACACCTGTAGAGTTCTGTAGGTTCTTATTAACGGAAATATACACGGGTGCGCTTACAAGTGCAGGTAGTCCTTACACTCCTATAGGGTCAGCTGACCTCACTCTGACCTCTCAGGCGACATGTGGTAAGTGGTATACGAGCAGCTTCCAGATGTCTCCAGGCACATTTATCTAAGCGTGTGGTGACATGAAACGGGCATTGCCACACGCTACTGACTAGAGAAATAATGTGTATATATAGAGTACATACATGGTATACATACAACATACATAATATACATACAATAACCACAATACTACCCCATTATTAACCCATGACCACAATATTACCCATTATTACCCATGACTACAATACTACCCCAATATTGCCCATGACCACAATAGTACCCTATTATTACCCATGACCACAATACTACCCCATTATTAACCCATGACCACAATAGTACCCTATTATTACCCATGACCACAATACTACCCCATTATTAACCCATGACCACAATAGTACCCTATTATTACCCATGACCACAATACTACCCCATTATTAACCATGACCACAATACTACCCTAATATTGCCCATGATCACAATACTACCCCATTATTAACCCATGACCACAATACTACCCCATTATTGCCCATGACCACAATACTGCCCCATTATTAACCCATGGACCACAATAGTACCCCATTATTACCCATGACCACAATACTACCCCAATATTGCCCATGACCACAATAGTACCCCATTATTACCCATGACCACAATTCTACCCCATTATTAACCCATGACTACAATACCATCCCATTATTGCCCATGACCGCGATACTACCCCATTATTAACCCATAACCACCATACTACCCCATTATTAACCCATGACCACAATACTACCCCAATATTGCCCATGACCACAATATTATCCCATTATTACCCATGACGACAATACTACCCATTATTGCCCATGACCACAATACTACCCATTATTACCCATGACCACAACACTACCCATTATTGCCAATCTAAATAAATACTCTCTTGATTGTCTAAAATGCCCACTTGATTATAAGATTCGTTACTCATTTGTATATGTAACTAAATTCCTTTCTTGTTTAGCGTGAGGGATGAGAGACAGCGTGGGGTCTCACACTCAGGATGGGTTGGAGAAAGGAAACTCACAATGCGCTCTCTGGTGCTGGGAAGTGGCAGCGTGGTTACAAGCGTGGAGTAGAGAGAGCTGGTTGGTGAGGGTGCTCAGAGGAGGTGTTGCTTGCTGCATGGTTGTAGGTAGAACAAGGGGCAGGTCACGGCGGGGTGAGGTCTTATATAGGAGGTAGGCGTGGCTTGATAGTTGAACTCCGCTCTGTTAGGCGGCGCTAGAAGCCGACCTTAGACCACTAGGCATTGGCTGGAGAATTCGAAGAGGGGTCGGCTAGTCAGCGACAAATGGCAGTTGTAGTTGTAGGGAAGATATCCACTACAGTACTTCTCTCTGGTGTTAAATTACAGCTGAATATTATGCAGTGATGAGAGAAGAGGAAGAGATGAAGATGGTGATGATGGTGATGATGATGATGTTGGATAAGAAGGGGCATATGATGAAAAAGGAGAATATAAGGAAAGGAGGCAGGAGGGATAGATGATGATAACGATGGAGGAGAAGATAAGGAAAGTAGGGAGAAGGGAAGAAGATAAGGAAAGTAGGGGGGAGAGATGATGCTGATGAAGGAGAAGATAAGGAAAGTAGACGGGAGAGAAAAAGATGATAAAGAAGAAGAGGACATAGTGATT